CTGTGTAAAATTATGGTAGTTGAAGATTGCTATAATTTTTAATTTTTAATTACAAAATTATTATTGTTATTATATTAAAGCTGCCTGGTAATAGGTGTTTGTTCTCATGGTTACATATGGAAATTATATCTGATCATATTGTTTTAAGGTATTAAATATGCTGGGGGAGTAATAAAGATTGTAGTGGATTACATGTTAATAGTGGGTGTGATGTGTAAGTGATGGTGCTGTATGTTGGTGGTAATGATAATATTGATAGTTAATAGATATTGTAAAGTGGTAAAAGTGATTACTAATGGTGGTGCAATTATAAGAATGATAGGTGCAATTATTTTAATGGTATCTTGAAATCAAATTGTGATTGTTGGTGGTTTGTCTGTTTTATCCGTTTGGTATGAATTCGGATAATAGGTACTTGTTCTCATGCCTACATTTGGTTGAAGATTGCTTTCAAGGCTTCATCATATCCAGAAATGAAAGAAAGAAATGTGTGTATGCTTGAATAATTCCCCTACGTTGGCAATCTTCAACTACCATAATTACTATCACATCATATCATATAGACCCGTTATTAAATTGAACCACCCTCTCACCCAGTATATTAAACATCACCATATAAATTAAACAATAAGGATTACAAATTTTTACCTGTTACATATACACAGTCACCAAAAACAAACAAATAACCAGCTTTAAATATAACAAATAAACCCCCATTTTTTCAAAAATTTAAAAATAAATATAAATAATAATAATAATAATAATAATAATAATTTTTACCTATCATAATTTTACACAAACCCCACCACACGTATATACATACATGCGAGGAAATATTTTTCAGCGAAAAAAAAAAAAAAATTTTCATAATATGACATGGATACATTCACGAGACATTAACGAGACATTTCCGCCACACTTCCAATGTTTAAATTTCAACATTTCAACATACAAATGCGTATGTATAGACATAACACCACCCGTATACATACATGTGTCATAGCCGAAACTGCCCACATACGTTTATATATGTATGAGTCCCGACGGACGACCAAGTATGTATATGTGCCTGCATACATCGATGTTTGCGTTAGTACGATGAATGACAAAACGACGAAGTTTCCCCCACCACTTCCACAATAACACCAATACACGCAATCAACATAAACCCAAATTTTTTAAAACATTAATCAGTTTGTCTGACGATCGCTAAAGCGTGAAACCCAGGGTCACAAACTCAAATCTATCCAACCAAATATATATATATATATATATATATATATATATATATATATATATATATATACAGATAGAAAGACAGAGAGAAAGAGAGAGATAAGAATAGGCTGAGATAGATAGATAGAGAGAGAGACAGACAGACAGACGAACAGACCTAAATAGAAATAAATAAATCATTTCAAAAATTAATAATTTTTTCAATCCAGAAATAAACTTTAGTTTAATCGATATACACGTTTGAGTAGACAACCCTATTTATAAACGTTGAATCTATCGACTTATATCATTGAAACTCTAATTTATAAAAAAAATAGTTTCTCTTGGGCGGAAACGAACCTACATTACTTTTTAGGGAAACAACATCAACTTGGTGCGTCGTTAACGTTTCCACTACGAAGGCCCTTACAGGAAACAAACATCTTCTTTCGTTGGAAACTTTCGGAGTCTATATCTGTCAACTTAACATTTCGTCCCTGAAATCTAAACAGTAAAATAAAACTATTTTTAACAATTAATGATTTTTTTCAATTGTTGCATTTCTGTAAAAGGTTAACTGAGTATTACCTTATTTTAAGGACCTGCGTGGCAGAAATAGTTACCCACACGCCTAACCAAAATGTTCGATTCCTAATTATAGATAAATTATCTTTAATAATATTTTCGATCATCTACGCCGGTATGCGTTAATTTCAGTGTTTATAAATAAAAAGGGATATTTTATATATTGTTTCGCATTTGCTATATTTATCAAGGAAGATTGGGAATAAATCTTTTATATAAAGAGGAGACAGAGAAATCAACGCGGCACGGTGGCTAGCAATTAAGAGATTATCAGAAATGTCATGGTGGCTAGCCTAAAGAGATTATCAGAAATGGTTTCATGATAGTCTATTACATTCTGATTTCTACGTCCACACTTCTCATATATAGATAGATAGATAGATATACTCTTTATACGTTATTTTTATGGATACAACTTATTTGAGAAAATACACTGTTTTAATACAACATTTATTTTCTAATGCCCATTAGAAAATAAATGTTGTATTAATTCTGTGGTATACCAATGCACTATTTCATCCACAGAGAGCCCTAGCACTAATATGATATACATTGGGTCCACGAAGAATAATTTTAAAGATAGATGGAGGCAGCATAAGTGCTCCTTTAATAATATAAACAAAAGAAACCAGACTTCACTATCAAAATATTTTTGGCACTTGAAGGAAACAAATAAGACACCAAAAGTTAAATGGAAAATTATTGACAAGGCTAGAATATGTAAAGCTTGGGATGACCCATGCCCTTTGTGCCTCCATGAAAAATTGCACATTATTAAACTTCTAAATAATAATAATCTATTAAATAATAGACACGAGTTAACGGTTTTTTGTAGGCATCATCAGATTTTTGGTTTGAAATAAAAAAAATTATATAACTTGTTTAACAAATAGCCCAATCATCAGATTCATAGTAGAAATTATTAACTACAAACTTGCATACAACATAACACCCTTCATAAACCATGGCCCAAATTAGTAGTTTAAATACCTTACATAAAAGATAACCCTTTATGAAGTCGTCAAAAAACAAACGTTACGAAAATTTTTCTTTTTATATGCACAATTCCCTTTCATAATAAAATAAAATAAAATAAATAAATAAACCTCCATAGACAAGCCAACTTGACGAAAGCTTAATACATCTTCGTTTCATTTTTGACACCCTCACCTTCCCCCGACTTGACACCTTGAAAGTATCTCTATACCGCTACTTATCATTAACACCCTACACTCGCCTACCCATTTTAGACAATTCGCCCTAGCTGTTACCATGGTGATTTTGATTTCAATTTTTAAAACAAGTAAATTTCAGATATACGTTATTCCAACAAAAATTTCGCTTGAAGATGGAACGGAGCCCTTTTTAATTTCAACTCAATTTAATTTAAAGGATTATATTGAAGTTTTCGGCTCTTGTTTTGAAACATGAGACCTCTTATGTAGCGATTCGGAATCATATTTTTAAATAAATAATTATATTTATGCTCTACTTTTGTATCGAGCACTATTTTTTAAAAATAATAACTAAAATACTAAGGAACTTTGGACTATTTACCTAACCAGTTCCTTCCTATATTTTTCTATATATATATATATATATATATATATATATATATATATATATATATATATATATATATATTATAGATAATAAAAATGAAGAGTCGGAAATAGATATTAACAGACTCAAATATATATATATATATATATATATATATATATATATATATATATATATACGATTGACGTCTATATATAGATATATAGATGTGGCCTGACGATTGCGTCTAGCATGAAACAGCCTGTCGCCTCTAAGTGTTGACTTCAATGTTCACTTTTGTTTTTACACACGCTCTATCTCTGATATTGACCACTTTATCCCATAAATACAGCACACCTTAAAACTATATTTCTTCATATATATATATATATATATATATATATATATATATACGTGTGTGTGTGTATGTGTGTGTGTGTTTTAATCATTTCACTCGCGTAAAGCAATAAAGGCACTAAAACGCAAGTGTTTACTGAGTATGAAAGAATCTGAGAAAAAAAAACATTGTTAAGAAGAGAGAACAATAAATGGGAAGTAATTAAGAAGACAGAAGATAACGATTTATATTGCATTTGAACTTTTGAAGATAATTGGAAAGCAAGAATCTGGATGAGTGTTCCACAATCACGAAGCGCAAAGAAAATAAACTTTTAGAATCGAACTTACGGTTACTTCTAGTCATTTCAACTATATGTATATATTTTGATACTGTGAATAAAAATGCCTTAAAAAAACATGGATGTCCTGATAAGGTTTCCTCAAGGAATGAAAGCGCGTGTTAGCTAAGATGATAAGCTCTCTGATCCAATTTTAGTTGAAAATGGTTTAAAGTAAGGGGATATAAAAGCGCCAACTCTGGTCGCGTTATATTTTACTATACTTTCCATTGCTTAGATAGGGTTTGCATAAAATATCAAACAATGGGTGAGATGTTGAATGTAAAACAGCAGCTGTCAAAACAAAGCTATTGTCATCACTCGTACGCGATTTCCTGTACGCTGACGATTGGGATCTTGTTCGTTACTTCTCGAGTGACATGTGGGTTAATGCATTCTGCACGTCTCTGCACCAGCTGTGATGACATCCAAGGTCGGCTGCAAGCGAATACACCAGAGCTCGCTATCTTCCACAGCTTCGCCGTCAACAAAACAATAGCGACAAATGCTTTTCAAGATACTTGTTGTGTCGGCAAGTAGCAAAAAAAAATACGATTTCGCACTTCGTCTTCCTTCTCATACGAGAAAGTGACTTCTCACTAGGCCACGGAAAACGAACCCCTACACACTCACTGCTTGTCCATTTAACTGACTACTCTTCACTCACTGTCCGATTCATTATATGCATACTGGCTGGGAGACCTACCACTTCTTTCCGTCCACTCGTGTTCCACCAACCGGTAAGGGGCATCACCCAGACAGATTTTGGGGAGGTCAGTCTTTCAAAGGACCTTTTTACAGCTATGTTAAAACACAAAGAACATTTTATGCTTGACAATTTAAATGTGGGCTGGAGACAAGATTCCTGAGAAACCCTGGTCATTAAACTGAGTTAAAAAGAAAAAGAATCTATCTCATAAGGATTTGTGAGAAATCGTATTGCTATGCATGCAGCATCTTATGGATACATTCTCACCGATCTTACGGCCATATCACGTTAAAATACAGGTTCTCGTACGATCAGCGATGTTAAGCAACGTCTAGCCTGGTCAGTACCAAAATGGGTTATCATTTCGGAATACCAGGTGTTGTAAACTTGGATGTTCGGTTGGTGTAATGGTTAACGGGTAGTGATTGTTAATCGGAGAGCCAAGTACCACAGTGTGATTCGTTATATTAGCTTACACATAAATATCCTTTGGAAAAATATTTAACCACTTCTTCCCCACCTATGGGTTAATTAGTAGGACTTATTATTCTCAAAAGAATTCTTACAATCTAAAAGTATTTTCTGTCTTTGAATAAGGTGCAAAAGATTGATAAGTCATTAAAAAATAAATCAATTAAGCAATGCTTCTCTATTTTCTACGGCATTCAGCTTATTGGGTTGATTTGGTTTGGTTTGGTTTGTTTTACGGTATATCTACCTCAATAGGTTATTTAATGCCGACAAGATTCTTATTGCTGGTAATATTTTTCCAAAAATATATCGTTGGTAAGATTTTTTTTTCTTCAAAAATGTATTGCTGGCAATAATATATTGCTGGTAATAATTTAACAAAAATTTATTGCTGGCATTAAAACCTATTTTTACACTTTCATAGTGTTTTGACCCAAGTTTGGGGGTTAACTATTTTCCCAAAGCTGGGACCCTAACTGGTGCTACCACCCCGGGTCAGGGTGGACCTAGGAACACCAACAATTACGAGGTGGTTCCACGCTCCTCAAAACCTCCTGATCAGAGGCCTTGCTGTTGGATATTGTTTATCGTTTTACCCAGGACGAAATCAGTTTATTGACGTTAAGATGAAATTCATTACGGAATGCCACATAGTTTTGGGTTTTTTTGCGCGGAAGTAGTTTATCGTCTTACCCAGGACGGCAGCTGATTGGGTCTAACGATTAACCTGGAAAAGACCACTGTAATGTAGCAACCTGCTAAAGCCTACCCTGATTGTTCAGGATGAAGGGCGATCCCTAAGCAGTGGATTGACAACCGGGAAAAAAGTAGCGACCCAACGAAATACTACAAGCGTTGCCTTATCTTTGTTGTTATTATCACATCTCCGGCCTTCATCAGGTTTATATCGATATGGGTAACCTCTGAACTGAACCCTTTATTTGATCCACGGGAATGTACTGTTCTTCCGATGCTCATATCTAGAGATATCTTGTCTAATTAATATTTTGAGTACTATTGCTCACCGGTTTCCACTGCCCGGACCAGGGATTGAACTCACAATTACTATATTACCAAATTCACAAACCAACGCTTTAAATCCACTATGCATAGGCAAAAGGGAACTGTCTGTTCCCTTAGATTAAACAAAGTGTTCTCTTCAGAATTCACAGCAGGTCAGATCGAGGAAAGACGGAAGACACAACAACCAAAAAGTTGTGATAAAAACAACAAAGACAAGGATAAGAGTTCGAATGTAAATAGATTAAATAAAGGTAACTCCTCATCTCAGAAATTCAGGCAGAGATTAAAAGATAAATGTTTGTTTTATTCTTAGGCGTCTGTTTTATTGATTTACCTACATACATAATGTTTAATTGCTTCTGATTTTATTTACCTGGCCTATCTACTAAGACAAAGTAAGACACAAGATCTTTTTATGTGGAGAGCTCATACTCATATATATATGGAGCAAGAACAAATATTGCTCAGCCCCCGTGACCAGTCACGCTGTCATCAATATTACACTGAACCCATCTTTTTTAGTGCAACGATGTATGTGCTGCTGGACGGTTGGAATTCTCGAAACCAGTTGTCTAAAACGAGGAGAACTGATACCACGCTTTGATACCGGGCAAAAGCTAAGAATATTTATTGTACCAGGTTGACCTTTAATAGAGGTGAGTAGTTTTAACTTATACGGTTTTAAGTGTTCTAAACCTGCATGAGATTGAAGAGAGAGAAACAAAGTATGATTTGCATTATGTGTGTGATAATGTCTTGTAGATTTCATCTTAAGCTTGAGTCGCTGCTTGTTTACAAACAGCCTGTTTATATCTGCAAAAAAATAAAATCAATCAGATTTGATTGTCCAAAAGCGTCGTAAAAAATTACAATTATTTTGCTAACTTATTTTAGCTACGATCAACGACGTTTTCAACAAATATAAACTCAGGCTCAGACTAACATCGAATATCTTTCCACAAACATTAGACTACATCTGGTGGTGGAGGCTTAAGTAAAATTATTTTAGCTACCATCGAAGATCTTTCCACAAACATTAGACTACATTTGGTGGTGAAGGCTTAAGTAAAATTATTTTCGCTACCATCGAAGATCTTTCCACAAACATTAGATTACATCTAGTGGTGGAGGCTTAAGTAAAATTATTTTCGCTACCATCGAAGATCTTTCCACAAACATTAGATTATATCTGGTGGTGGAGGCTTAAGTAAAATTATTTTCGCTACCATCGAATATCTTTCCACAAACATTAGACTACATTTGGTGGTGGTGGCTTAAGTAAAATTATTTTAGCTACCTTCAAAGAACACTGATTAAAAGGTACACAATGATTTTTAGTATCACTAAAATGGCCGTTGTCGCCAACCCTGGCTAAGGTAGAAGAATACATGGTCGTTAACAAATGTGACAGACCGAATGGCGCGAGTGAGACAGAACGACTTACAAATGGGCGACATCAAAATCAAGCAGTACAAAATGTAGCTATTTGAGAAGTGCTTTAATAGACGGCGTCAAATGTGACAGAAAAATTTAAGGTATATTGAAATAACAAAATGCGCCATCCAAAAACTAAAGAAACCATTAAGAGTGATCATCTACTATGTAATATCAAACCTCTTATATGGCAGTGAATGCAAGACAATCTACTCGCAGATGAAGATCTGGCTAAAGACAACATAGATGTGGTTATACAGAAGGATGCTGAGAATGCATGAACAGAATATATGAGTAACGGGGAAAATTTTTAGGAAAATAGGAACCTAAAGAAAATTTAGGCTTAAGATAAAAAAAGCAGTTGAAGTTTTGGGAAAGAGAGCTCGGAGAATTTGATACACATAGGGCATAACAATAACATACCTAATAAGCTTGTGATAGATGGCATAATAGGAACAGGAAGTGATTGTAACTGAACAAATATTGCTTAGAACTACAAAGGAAAGGAGGCTGTGGAGTGCCATGATCTCTCAAGTCCTAACGAGACATGGGATATAAATAGTCCTACAGTAGTCTTCAAAAAAATGGAGAATTAATGTTTATCTGATTGTGTAGGGTGGGAAGAGAGAATAATCTACCACAAGGATATAAAAGTATTTGTTTTATCTATTTGTTTTTTTTTTCAGAAAATAAATGTCCTAATATTTCTAGAGATATTATTTACATTTTTTTTCAGATGACTCCACAAAAATGTAATATCAGAACCATAGATTACAACACACAGACATTTTAACTTTGTAGGGGTCTTTTTAAATATAATACACCCCCACCGCTCGATCTCCAAAAATGCTCCCCAAAACCTCCACGAATAAGGAACATTGTGGACAAAAACACGATTTAATTTGGCTAAAGTTGCAAAAGGCCAGCCATTAATCGGAGAAGAGGGTCGGTGAAAATATTAAAATAAGAGATCGCGGGTGATGTTTTCTTAGTTATGAGGCTGTCTGGGAATGGTTGGCAGGCAGCGAAATCAAACGAATTCTTTTAAAAGCAACTACTTCCGGTTTCCGTTTTGCAAATGGCCCAAAATTATTTTGGTTAAACTTTGGAAGGCCACCAAGATTTTCGGCCTTCTTTCACCATGGTCAGTTACCCACAATTAAAGTACACCCGCCTGCTCCCTCCCCCGCAAGAACATCAAAAAGCAAACAAAAGAAGTGGTTTTTATGAGTTTAGGTCTTTATCTTCCCAACCATCTGCCTACGCTCACCTACTCATAATCAGTTTCCATATATATTTATTAAACAAGAACAAGAAAAAAACGCCTATATACACACAGACAAAAGAACAAACATACGTACGTACATACACACATATATATATATAAATAAATATCTATCTGAGATAGATCGTATGTAACTACAAATATAAAAGTGAACATTGACGTCAACACTCATAGGCGACAGACTGATTCATGCTAAAATGGCCAGATGATTGTGTTTAGCATGAAATAGTCTGTCGCCTCTGAGTGTTGGCTTCAATGTCCACTTTTATATATATATATATATATATATATATATATATATATATATATATATATATATATTTGTTTTTATGTTTGTTAACGGAATATTACACACACACAAAAACATTTAAAAAGAAAAAACGAATTTCGATTCACATGATATTTTTTCGTCTCGCATGCTACCTGAATTTTACCAAAAGCAAAATAATTTCCATGCCTGACGATGACTTTACGTACAGTCGAAAGTACTTGGGTATTTAAGGACGACATAAAACAGTTTTTTAGAAGAAAAAAAAACAAGTATTATAACATTCATCGACTAATTCGCATCTTTAAAATTTAGTTAACGAAGGGATTTCGGCATTTTATATCATTAACTTTCGCAATTTGCTTTTTGTATGAATGATTCATTGTAATATATATATATATATATATATATATATATATATATATATATATATATATATATAAATATAATTCATCGAATCTAGAAGAAACCTCAACAGAATGCAGAAAGCACTAGACGGCTGTTTCGTCCTATATTTGGTTTCTCTTTTTGCCCATAGGACTGTGCTATATCGAGTCTAATTCTATGGGTAAAAGAGAAACTCGAAGTTCTACCACGGAATTTGTGATCGATCGGCGCTATATCGAGTCTAATTTGCTACCTCTTCGTCATACCAACTGTACCGTTGGTACAGTTGGTATGGCGTTTGCCTCCTATCGTAACTGTTCGGGGTTTCAATTCTCGCTAGTGGATGCGCACTGCTGATGAGTCCCAAATATAGGCCATCCCGTGCTTTCTGCATTCTGTTGAGGTTTCTTCTAGACTCGATGAATTACTTAATTATGATTATTTCAAATCCTCCTTAATTATATATATATATATATATATATATATATATTATATATATATATATATATAATTAGGA